AATTGGACACCAATCTCATTAAATCTAAAATAAATAGAAATTTTTTTTTTTTTTTCGAGTAATCGAATATCAATTTTGTTAACCGATATTCGGACGTTCGATCGAGTACTCGGTTAACCGATTACTCGTTGCCATCCCTACAATTTACTATAGAGTTGTACATAGGGCCTAATACCTGTCCAACTAAACAAAATTACTAACAGGTATTAGTGCGGCGGACCCACACAATTGGGGTGTGAAGCTCAAAATGCATTTAAATTCCAAATGAAATGTACATTTGTCAATCCCAGAACATATACTTCTCATATTATATGGAAACCAACAATGAACATATTACTGAATGGCTCCGACTATAGGGCATTTGAATATGGCAAAGCTCAGGGAGCCAATTTTGAATTTGTCAAAAGATTTTGTAAATAGAGTAAAACAGCGATAATTTTTTTGTTTATTTCGCCTGTTGCATTGTTAGTCCCCTACCGGTTTACCGGAGGGGACTTTAGGTTTACCCTCCGTCCGTCTGTCCGTCCGTCCTTCAGTCCGTCCGTCTGTCCGTCCGTCAGTCTGTCCGTCCACAAAACTGGATCCCGCGATATCGCAAAAAGTACTGAAAATATTTTAATGAAACTTGATATATGGATAGATGGCAGTATGGAGATTATGCACGTCTTTTTCTTTTCTTCCCATGTTGAAAATTCTGGTTGCTATGGCAACAAATAGACTGAAAATATGGCAAATTTTACACATAACCTGGATCCCGCAATACCGCAAAAAGTACTGAAAATATTTTTATGAAACTTGATACATGGATAGATGGTAGTATGGAGATTATGCACGTCTTTTTCTTTTTTTCCTATGCTGAAAATTCTGGTTGCTATGGCAACAAATAGACTGAAAATATGGCAAATTTTACACATAACCTGGATCCAGCGATAACTCAAAAAGTACTGAAAATATTTTTATGAAACTTGACATATGGGTAGATGGCAGTATGGAAATTATGCATATTCTTTTCTTATCTTCCTGTATTGAAAATTCTGGTTGCTATGGCAACAAATTGACTGAATATCAAGATTTCTGATTCTAGTTTTTAAGTTTTTTCACTATAAGTTCTTTATTTCTTAAGGTATTTTCTTCAAACTTTAAATATAAGTTGCTAGTCATCAACCACATCATATGTGACAAAGTTTACAACTCTAACACAAAATTTATCAGAATTACCTCCCTTGAACTTAAAATTTTCATGAAAAAAACATTGTTTTTTTTTAATAACTTCTTTTCTTCTGAACGTCACAATCTACTTCATATAAATGTTTCTTATTATCACTCAACATTTGTGAGTGTTCAATACTCTAGCAAGACTATTTCCAGAATTATGCCCCTTTTGAACTTAGACTTTTTTTTTGAGAAATTGGTAATTTTTACTCCAACTTCTTCAATCATGATAGGATTTTCTTCAAACTCCCACATCATAATAATATGACAAGGTTTATAAATCTAGCATCCATATTTCCAGAATTATCTCCTCCTTGAACTTTTAATTTTTCCTATTCGTTCTTTTAACTTTCATTTATTTCAAATTCAAAATAAACATTCAATATTCATACCTTCATTACTAATTGTTCTTTGTTACACTCACATCATGTATGACATTGTTATCTCCTTTTTTTAAAATTTTGCTTTTAAAAATGTTATATTTTGATAACAGGGATGTTTAAAAAATAACTTTAGAGTGTCCTTCAGTCCGTCTGTCTGTCTGTACATAAAAACTGTTCACTGTGATCACTTTAAAAGAACTTTTTCAATAAATTTACTTAAAATAGAAACATAAGTGAATGGCCCTTCAGAATGTTGCTTTGGCTCTTACCGGTAGGGGACTTAAGGATTGCTTGCAATACTATGATAATTGCTTGTTTATATTAATGTTGAAATTTAAAATTGACCATCATTGTGGAGAATGATATCTATAATATCTATGATGTCGATAAACAAAAGGATTTAGCTAAACAGGTTTTATAGTACTGCTAGAGGCTTTTGTCCTACTTGTATATTTCATGGGGGGCTTTTGTCCACCATGTCATTTTTAGATGGGGGGTCTTTTGTCCTTCACTCGCATAAGCACACTTTGGGTCTATCACGGACTTAAAAGTTTATTCACAGGAATTTGAAATTCTATCAAATAACCAATATTAACGATAATACACAAAAATTATTATACCCACTATATACATGTAGTTATTTGATAGAATTTCAAGTTCCTGAGGCTGTGCTTTAATTGACTTGACATTGAAGTATGTGGGTCAATTTCCAGCGGTAGTTAGATTATAACGAAATATTTTTCCTTATACATGTATGTATATATTAAAAACTTCTAGGGCTAGAGCTTTGATATTTAGCATAAAACATCTTCTATAGGGTGTCTACAAAGTTTGTTATCCCCCGCCGATGGAATCGGGAGGGGGATATAGTTTTGGCGTTGTCCGTCCGTCCGTCGGAATTTCGTTTCCGGAGTAGTTCTCTGCAACTACTGGCTGGAATTCAACGAAACTTTATGGGAATCATCAATATCAAGAGGAGATGCGCATATTGTCGGCTTGTTCCGGTCAGACACTTTAACTCAGAGTTACGGCCCTTGATTAGTTATGTAGTATGCAATAGAGCAAAAACTGGTTTCCGCACTACTTCTCTGCAACTACTGGCTGGAATTCAAAGAAACTTTATGGGAACCTTCAATACCAAGAGGAGATGCGCATATTTTCGGCTTGTTCTGGTCAGACACTTTAACTCAGAGTTACGGCCCTTGATTAGTTATGCAGTATCCATATAGAAAAATATTTTCTTCCTCGCTGCCTAATTCAGATACTAAGAGGTAAGGCTCCCACGTTTACAATTTTTTGTAAACGTTTACATGATTGCTAAGAACCGAAATGATACCGTTTAAACGGTGTTACCTCTAAGTACTATATACACCATGTATATAGGTCGCCAAATGATAACTTACTTTCCATTTTTAATACATGTACAAATAAAGAATGTTCAGGGCTCATCAAGATTGACTCAGCACACATTTTCTGCATTGTACCCCATTTTTGTTACCAAAAATGTATTATGTCACGAGCATTTTTTGCACGGTAAAGCTGTGTGGAGGGTTGTAAACACCCATTTTTCGTTTTTTACTTTGGAATAAACCACTAGAATTGATAAAATCCATGATTACAGGCAATGATAAGACAATATGGTCATTTCGTTTAAACGGTAAAAAATATCGTAAGTGAATGAAAATCGAAACGAATCCGTTTAAACGTGTAACCGTGGGGGCCTTACTAAGAGGAGATGTGCATATAGTCGCCTTGTTCCAGTCGGATACTTATAACTCAGATTTATGGCCCTTGATTAGTTATGTAGTATGCATACATCTCATTGGCATTTCCAGATTTTACTATTTAACACAAAGTTATGGCTCTGTTATTGCCCTGGAATTAAAATTTATCCAAGTTTCAAAGAATATATTACTGTTTTTGCCATGGATTAATTAAAATAAATAAAAGCCCTTTATGTTCTTCAGTTGTTGGTGTTGTAGTTTTATTAACCCAAGTACTCGGCGGGGGATATAAATTCAACGAATTTGCTTGTTCAAATAAAAGCACTGGGGCCCCTCCCAGGGGGGGGGGGGGGGTGGTCATTGATTTTTTGGCCGGGTTGCACAGGTGCAAACCCAGGTTATAGTATTGTGAATGTCGGGCAGCGGGCAGGGAAAAAACTTTCTTAACAGATTTCTCAGCAACTACTTATCACAGCCTCTTGATATTTGGCATACAACATTTACACATGGTCCCATACCTTGGGATTCAATTTCAGGTCTGTGGCTCATCCACTTCCTATTTACCGTATTAGTAAAATTTTTGATTAATGGTCAATGGTAGGAAATTTTCGTAACAGTTTTCTCAGTAACTACTAATCACAGCCTCTGAATATTTGGCATACAACATTGACACATGGTCCCATACTGTGGGAATTGATTTCAAGTCAGTCGTTCATCCACTACCTGTTAACCAACTTAGTTGAATTTTCCACATTAATGGTCAATGGTAGGAAATTTTTGTAAAAGTTTTCTTAGCAACTACTTGATATGTGGCATACAGCATTGACAAGTGGTCCCATACCATGGGATTAGATTTCAGGTCTGTCTTTCATCCAGTTCCTGTTTACTGACTTCCACATTAATAGTCAATGGTAGGAAATTTTTATAACTGTTTCATCAGCAACTACTTATCACAGCCTGTTGATATTTGGCATACAGTATTGACACATGGTCCCAAACAGTGGGATTTGATTTCAGGTCAGTCGCTCATCCACTTCCTGTTCTCATTTTGTGTTGCACGCAAGTATTTGACCTAGAGTCATAATACTTTACAGGATTGTTGCTCAGCATTTGAAGTTGTGCACCTGGGCCCTTGTGGATTTATACAGTTTTGTTAGAGTTATTGCCCTTGACTTAGTAAAAATTTGCAATTTTCAAATTGTCGCAGATAACTCGAAAAGTATTTGACCTAGAGTCATGAAACTTTAAAGGAATATTGGACAGCATTTGAAGTTGTACACCGGGAGTTTCGCTTGTGAGTGTGGATTTATTTCTAGAGATATTTCCCTTTACAAAAAATAAATTTGCAATTTTCAACTTGTTCATGCATAGGTCAAAAATTATTTGACCTGTCGGCCTGAAAGTTTACAAGAATGTTGGTCAGCACATGTACTTAAGCACCTTGGGGTTCGCTTGTTTATTCAGTATTTGTAAAGTTCTTGCCCTTTACTTAGTAAAAGATTTTTAGTTTTCAAAACATTTGACCTAGAGTCATAAGATTGACAAAACAGTGGCATGTTGGGGAACCCGACACATGTCCTATGGACACATTTCTAATTTAAGAGGGAATTGTACCAAATTTCAACACCATAATTTCTTGCCCTGTGCATATACTTTTATCTATATTTCATATTTATTGCAGTGAAAGACAAATATGGTGATGGAGATGAAAGTAAAGGTTCAAGTTCTTCAGAGTCTGAAGATGAAGATGCGGAGGTAAGAGAAAAAAGTTCAAAAATAGATAAGGCCTGAAAAAAATAAATGTTGTGTTTCCGGTGGCCCGACCGACCCTATTTTTTAGCGCCGACCCAAAGTTTTTTATCGATGTACAAAAAAAATAAGGCGCCCGTACCGACCGTACCGAAGACGGGTTTTAGTATCGCGAGTCGACAATGATGTCAGGCACAGACAATTCGTGTTCCAATTACGCATTAACGCGCACTGGCAAATATGGCGGCACAACAAGCAGCCGAAGTGTCACTGCTGGCGATTTCCTTAAAAAATGCGGTCACAGTGTGACAAAACAGGAAATCAAATTAATAATAGGGAGAGGAACTATATAAGTTTTCTTTCGTTCTAATCCCTTTCAATTTATGTAACAATTATATATATATAAAATGTAATCTATGTAAAATATTGAAATAAATATGTTTAAACTAAATTAATTGACCACAGCAAAACAGCTCAAAACATTTTTTTGGATGTGCATGGTCATGTTAAGAGTGAGAATATTACAATTGAAGCCAGTTGTTCGGTAATAATAAAAAAAAAATGAAAACGAAAGTCGAGTCATGCCATTGGTAAAATTTATTTCAAAATATAAGATTGAAGTCTAGGTTTGTTAGTCTAACATTTCTAAATACTTTTATGCTATAGAATATAATTTACAGTCCATATAATCCGTATCATATCTACAATCGTTGATTGACAGGAAAAAAAAAAAATTCCAACCTACCGACCCTACTTTTTTTGGTCTCGCCACCAGAAACACATCAATTTTTTTTTTAAGCCTAAAGAATGACTACTTTTAATAATTTCATGTTAGCAAGATGCATCAAAGTCTTTTCACAATGGTAGGAATGTCATCGCACACCTTTAAAATGCACCAAATCCGACTGTCGACTCAAAGATAAATTTTTTTTTTATTCTATTAAATCATTAGAATACCAAAAAATAATATATAAAATTAAAAAAAACATTTTACTTTCTGGTTTAAAGAAGCTAACCTCTAGAAGATAATAGAAAAACTAGTTTTACAAATATTTCAAAATCTCTCTTCAAAAACATAATATAGTTGAAAGAATTCGAAATGACACAAATTGTTCAAATTTTTAACCAGGTTTTCAACGAAAACCGGGTTATTGTAATGCCGAAGTAGGCGGGCGGGCGAGAACTTTTGGTTTCCCCTCAATAACCTTTGCTTTGGCCAATTGACACCAAACTTGGTGTGTAGGTAGCTTATATCAAGAGGCAGCTTGGAATTGCTACCCAGGTGTCTGTGATCAAGGTCAAGGTCACTGTTACTAAAAATAGAAATTCAGTTTCTGCTCAATAAGTTGAATAACTTGAGTTTGCTTTGGCCTATTGACACCAAACTTGGTGTATAGATAGCTTATATCAAGAGGCAGCTTTGTATTGCTACCCAGGTGTCTGTGATCAAGGTCAAGGTCACTGTTACTAAAAATAGAAACTCAGTTTCTGCTCAATAACTTGAGTTTGCTTTGGCCTATTGATGCCTAATTTGGTGTGTAGGTAGCTTATATCAAGAGGCAGCGTTGGATTGCTACCTAGGTGTCTGATCAAGGTCAAGGTCACTGTTACTAAAAATAGAAATTCAGTTTCTGCTCATTAACTTGAGTTTGCTTTGGCCTATTGACACCTAATTTGGTGTGTATGTAGCTTATATCAAGAGGCAGCGTTGGATTGCTACCCAGGTGTCTGTGATCAAGGTCAAGGTCACTGTTACTAAAAAAAGAAATTCAGTTTAAGCTCAATAAGTTGAGTTGCTTTGGCCTATTGACACCAAACTTGGTGTATGGATAACTTATATCAAGAGGCAGCATGGGATTGTTACCTAGGTGTCTGTCATCAAGGTCAAGGTCACTGTTACTAAAAGAGAAATTCAGTTTCAGCTCAATAACTTGAGCTTGCTTTGACACCAAATTGAGTTTGCTTTTGCCTAATTCACATCAAACTTGGTGTATGGGTTTGTTATATCAAGAGGCAGCTTGGGATTGCTACCCAGGTGTCAGTGGTCAAGGTCAAGGTCACTGATACAAAAATAGAAATTCAGTTTCTGCTCAATAACTTGAGCTTGCTTTGACACCAAACTTTATGAATGGGTAGCTTATATCAAGAGGCAGCTTTGGATTGCTACTCAGGTGTCTTTGATCAGGGTTAATGTTTATGCCCCCGCCATGTAATGGCCGGGGCATATAGTGTTACCCTGTTCCGTCCTTCCGTCCTTCCGTCATTCCGTCCTTCCGTCATTCCGTCCTTCCGTCATTCCGTCATTCTGTCATTCCGTCATCATCAGTTTCCGTTCATTATCTTAGTAACGGTTGCACACATTCAACTCAAATTTGACATATGGATATGTCATGAGAAAATACAGGTCAAGTTTGAATTTGGTCATGGTTCGATGATTTTTGGCAGAGTTATGCCCCTTTTACTTTAAAATAATATGAAATTTTCAGTTTCCGTTCATTATCTCCCAAACGATACAACACATTCAACTCAAACTTGACATATGGATATGTCATGGGAAAATACAGGTCAAGTTTCAAATTTGGTCATGGTTCGATGATTTTTGGCAGAGTTATGCCCCTTTTACTTTGAAAAATAATATGAAATTTTCAGTTTCCGTTCATTATCTCCCCAAAGGTACAACACATTCAACTCAAATTTGACATATGGATATGTCTTGAGAAAATACAGGTCAAGTTCGAATTTGGTCATGGTTCGATGATTTTTGGCAGAGTTATGCCCCTTTCACTTTGAAAATAATATATGAAAATTTCAGTTTCTTTCAGTTTCCATTCATTATCTCCCCAACCATACAACCCATTTAAACTCAAACTTGACATATGGATACATCAAAGGAATGCGCAGGTCAAGTTCAAATTTGGTCGTGGTTCATGATTTTTGGCAGAGTTATGCCCCTTTCACTTTGAAAATAATATGAAATTTTCAGTTTCTGTTTATTATCTCCCCAACAGTACAACACATTCAACTCAAATTAGACATATGGATATGTTTTTTGGAATGCCCAGGCCAAGTTAGAATTTGGTCATGGTTCAATGATTTTTGGCAGAGTAATGCCCCTTTTACTTTGAAAATAATATGAAATTTTCAGTTTCTGTTCATTATCTACCCAACAGTGTTACATATTCAACTCAAATTTGACATATGGATATGTCAAAGGAATGTGCAGGTCAAGTTGGAATTTGGTCATGGTTCGATGATTTTTTGGCAGAGTTATGTCCCTTTCACTTTGAAAATAATATAGATACATCTTAGGAATAAGCAGTTTAAGTTTGAATTTGGTCGTGGTTCAATGATTTTGGACAAACTTATCTTTCTTGAATGTTGAAAAAATTTTGAACTTTCAGTTTCAGCACTCATACTTTTGTGGAAAGTTTGAATTTGGTCGTGGTTCAATGATTTTGGACAAACTTATCTTTCTTGAATGTTGGAAAAATTTTGAACTTTCAGTTTCAGCACTCATACTTTTGTGGAAATGTATGTAGCCATTATTTTGGCTACAAATATGAAATATGCTATTTTCAAAAGGTTAAGACTGAATAATTTCAGTGCTTTGAACATTGTATGAAAATGGTTTGTGTTAACATTGAAAAGTTTTAAGGGCTTTGAACTGCAAATGAAAAAAATAATTTGTGCAAACAAATTTGGAACTAAATATTATAACATCTGAAATTTTGGCTGCATGCGGGGGCATCCGTGGCATGATGACACATTTCTAGTTTTAGTTTTATGTTATAACTTGAGTTTGCTTTGACACAAAACTTGCTGCGTGGCAGCTTTGGATTGCCACTTAGATATCTGCACTCAAGGTCAAGGTCATTTGCTTACAATAGAATTTTCAGCTTCTACTCTATAACTTCAGTGCACTTTGAACTATTGATTGCTGTCACATCAAAACTTGGTCATTGAAAACCTGGTTTTCGCCGCATTGTGGCGCTTCTTGTAACATTATTGCTCTGAAAAGAAACAGTTCACATTTCTGCCAATGGGAAATACCTCCTTTTATTTTATACCCCCACCACAAAATGTGGGGGGTGTTATAATGGATTCGCTTTGTCGCATCCGTCCATCTCCATTATCGTGTCCGCTCTATAAATCCTATACCAATTGAAGGATTTTCTTCAAACTTGGCTCAAATGTTCACCTCAACAAGGGGATGTGCAGAACCCATGTTGCCTATGTGTCAGCTCAAGGTCAAGGTCACAGTTGAAGGTCAAATATCAAACAATCAAATATTAGACAGTGTCGTGTCAGCTCTGTAAGTCCTACACAAATGAATGATTTTCTTCAAACTTGGCACAAATGTTCACCTCAACAAGGGGATGTGCAGAACCCATGTTGCCCTTTTGCCGGCTTAAGGTCAAAGTCTTAAATTTTAACATGTACTTGAATATTTCTAAAACTAGAACAAATAATCATTTGAAACTTCATATATATACCAAGTGGCGCAAGTATTTAGTAAGATATGCAGGTCAAGTTTCATTACTAAAAAAGTGGGGGGGGGGACAAAGTAAAGTCCATTTTTATGTCTTTAAATTTATTTACTATAATATTTCTTAAACCAGAACAGAAATTTACTTGAAACTTAAAATTTATATGAATGGTTATAAGCAAGCTCAGATGACGAAAATTCTACAATTCAATTGAATTAAGACACAAGTTATGCCCCTTTTAGGCAAAGAAATGTTCTGATAATACTTAAATGTTTCTGAAACTAGAACAGATATTCACTTGAAACTATATAATATATGAAGGGTCGTAAGTAAGCTCAGTAAGCAAAGTTTTTCCTCTCTTAATTACATTTTGACATAATTATGCTATTTTCTTAACTTCACTGCTTTTGTTTGTTTTAGTACATTGGGAAAATGAAAGGTAACTGTTTCGAACATGATTTGACAATATATATTTATACTATTACCTGTACAATGCGTCTTTTTGTGTCGCCTCTACGG